CAAGCCCCTCTAGCCCCCCCCTCTGCACGTCCCTGCTGTGGATCACAGTAAGTGGCCTGGTTCTTATATAGTGATTTCTTCTACTGCATGTAAACATTTGAAGCACTTTATAAAACTTGCCTCATTACCCCAAGCACTTTTTTCTGGGTATGTTATTTCTAGCTAACACTTACAAACATTCATTCTCTGATGGATGCATCAAAGATCAACTGGGGGTTTGTAGATATTTGGCATGCAGACTTGAGGGAGCCAGGGATTAAACCCCCAACCCTCCGATTAGTAGGTGACCTGCTCGACCTTCTGAGCAAGAGTTTTACAAATGTGAAACTCTTCAACACCTCCACAAAGAAAACTGCAAGCTCCATAGTAACAGGATAATCAGACAGCAACAGGATAGTAAGCCATAAAATTTTAACCACCACAGTTTCACTTGTTTTTTTGTTTCTTGTTTGATGGATGTCAAACATTCTGGAAATGAGGCACATCGACATATTGCCGACATATCTGCTCAGCAATAAACTGCAGCAACATCTGCTTCACCAATGATTTGTCTCTGTCTGCACTCTCCATTAGGGTGGCATTACATAGTGTGGACATCTTCCTGCTGCAAAGGTGCAGCATCAGGGTAGCTTAACGCTGCTTGGGTAACTATTGACTGCTCACTATGTGATGTTCATAAGCCACACACTGCTATGTATCTCACCCAAACTGTGGTCTAATACAGCGGTCCTCAACCCCCGGGCCTCGGACTGGTACCGGTCCGTGAGTCGTTTGGTACCGGACCGCGAGAGTTGAGGCTCAGGTGTGAAATGTATGGTTTTCAGCGTTATTTTGTTATCGTTTTTATCATTAACTCGGTTTTCCTGGGTCTTTTCACGTGTGTTATGAATAAATCTTCTTTTTTTCGGTACCGGTACTAGTTTTATTTTGTTGTATTTATCCGCAACACCTTAAAGGCCGGTCCATGAAAATATTGTCGGGCATAAACCGGTCCATGGCGCAAAAAAGGTTGGGGACCGCTGGTCTAATATATGCTTTAAACTGCAAGTATTCCTTTGTTCTAGAAGAAGAACCAGATTTTATTTTGGTCTGTATTACTGCAGACTTACTGAGTCACTTTCCAAAATTTTTATCTTGGGCTTCAGAAACTCTGGAATATCTCTGAAATATTTGTTGTCCATGAGGCTGTGAGTTGATTTTTCTTTCCACTCTTCTCCATACAGTGCTGATAACTTTCCATCACGGTCAAGACAATCATCATTACCACCATCATCATCATCATCATCATGATCTTCAAGAGCCTGTTTTAAGGACTGCACCTCATTTTCCCAATCCTAAAAAATAAATAAATTATATCTTAATTTTAGTAAAGCAGTTTTCTAACACATTACTTTACTTCAAGAATCACCATATTCATATTTCATTCTACCTCTTTTGTAATGAACTCGATGTGTGCCTCATACTTTGATCCATTGGTAGCCTCCACCTTTATCATTACTGAGGTACATGCACTGACACTTGCAGAAGGCAACAGGCCCTCCTTATTTATGATGGCATTGATTAAAGAGCTCTTTCCAGCCCCAGTTCTACCAAAGACACCAACCAGGTGTCTCCTTTCTGTCTCCAAATCTTTGATTTGATCCCTGTTGAAAGAGATTAAATATGGATTAACTGACCCATTCTCAGAAACATCAAACTGAAAATGCAGTAAAATCAGAAAGATTTGTTTTTTAAAATGTGTTGAAAAAAATCGCCTTACTACTGGAACAAACTACACAGCTCCATGTTGAGCTCTGACCGAGTTTAAATCTTTAGTTTAATGTAAAGGTGGATATGTAAAGCCAGCTCATATACACGTACTATAACGTTTGTGCCTTTATTTTGGTAACTTCCTTTGCAAACGGAAGTGAATGTTGTAACGGTAACTAGTTTGATGTACAAAAGACGCAAGAAAACGGTAAACTACTGGTAACGGAGAAAAACACAGCTAAACTGTATAAAAATGAATGGTTCTAGCTGCAGTCGACAGGGGAACAAGGTATGCAATCTACATAATTTAATTTGAGCAATCGGAAATGTATAATTTGTATTGTATAGTTTAATAGAAAGCACCATAATCATTAGTTAGACTAATGTAATGAACTGTTAAAATGATGTTATATGTATAGCATGCAATTGTTTTCTTTGTTTGTCTAGCTCTTACCTTGGTTCGTTGTCTCATACACAGCAAGCAGTAATAAAAGTCATTCAACAATCATCAGTTCTGGCCTTCTCAGTTCGACTGGATGCCACAATCTTTATTATACCCAATATCAGCAAAATGTTCCTCCAACTATTTCTTTTTGCTCCAACTTACTTTCTACCCTCCCCCCCCCTCCTAACCTTTATTTTTTCTTAAAATGGTACATTTTCTCAGATTAAGAACTTGATATGTTTTTGTTTTCTGTTGTCAATAAAATATTAGAGTAAGAGATTTCATGAATGTTGGGTTTTTTTTCCATTTTCATTTTACAGACTGTCCCAACTTCCTTGGAAATGGTTGGAAGAACGTCCAACAAAAATAGGAAATCTTTATTACTCACTTTAGGAAAGCGCTGAGTTTGTCACGGCCATGTAGTCTTTCACTGACACGTCTCATTATGTCTTTGACATCAGACAGTATTTCTGTTTCTGTCAGAGGGAAAGTAAAAAACTAATAAGTAGGAACCTGGAACCAGTGTAACGCAAATATGGTCCACTGATATGTACCTGACTGTGATCCTGCTGCAGAGTTGTATTGTCGTTTAGGAGATGGTTGCCATTCGCCAAACTCACTCTGAAAAAGTTCTGACTTTCTTTTTCCTTTTTGGATTTAAACAAAATGATAAAATTAAAAAAAATCTATGAATATTGAAACTTCTGATTATGGTGTATTTTAGATGTTGCAAAAATAATACTGTGAAAATAAATAAATAAATTAGATGTATTAAAATGAGAGTGAGATACATTTTTCTCACCTTTTTCACTTATGGATGGCAAATCCTGTGGAAGCATATAAATATTCAACTTTCACGTTTGAAATTAAATTATTATAAATTGTACATGTATGCATAATTGAATTTATAGAAGAAATCATTGCTCCTGTACAGAAACAATTTGTTCTTTAACAAACTGTCAAAAACATTCACATGCACTTTTTAAAATGTACACACTTATATGTACATATATTCTCAACTAGCACAGTGATTAAAAAAAAAAAGGAAAACTTTTGCTTTCTTGCCTCTCAGTAAACATGATCCCATGAGTCAATGTTTCTGCCTAATTCAGCACCAGTGACACAGACCTAGAGATCAGTTGGTGACCATCCCATCCCTGGCAACCACCAGATGTTAGGGTAAAGTGTGTATTCCAACATCAGGCAACTACATCAGTTGTTTAGTGGTTGGTGGAGGTTGTAAGAACTTTAAGTCGCAGGGTGGTCAGGCTTGTGTGACTGGGGCCTTCACTTTATATAGTTGGGAAAACTTGGGATTTACTTACCTGGATGATTGAGCATGTATCAAGACAGAAACTAACATCAATCTCATTATGCTCCTATTTATCAATATCAAAACAAACTTTGGCATCTATATTTTGGTTTGATCCGCCCACCACCAGGGCCATGCAGAGCTGTTTAAAGGGGCGGGTGCTCAAAGTTAAAAACAGGCACATAGAGCCAGGCTGAACAACAACACACATTCTTTAAGAATCTAATACGGAATCGCATCATACTATATCACTGTTTTACCTGATGGGGTACAATGTTGCTGTTGAGGAGTTTCTGCTGATCCTGCTCCTGATAGTGCAGGAGGAACGGGCTGTGTTGAGCTGCGACATTGCAGGTGTGTTTATCATTGTTTTATACTGGAATACCTCTGCAATGCAACAACTGGTACATGTGTTCTTGTGACCTGTGCTGTTTTCTTTATTCCAGCCAGAGAGGGATCCTCTGCGTTTAGCCTCAAAAAGCTCCCTTTGTCACTGTTTCCTTTTATACCTCCTCCAGAATACTGCATATATCCTACTATGGCCACATGTTTGCATCATGGTCCTGATCAAGAATCCTTATTGTTTATTCCTAGCGCTCTAATAATAAAGTAATTAAAATAAAAAAAAATTAAGTAATAAATATATAATAAAGTATTTATGATGATTCAGTTTGTTTGACTATCTACTCTGTGCAGGCAGAAAGCCTATTAAATGCTTAAACTGTAGAGATACAATAATGTTGCTGCTGTAAAATCAGCATTTTGTCATATTTGAAATATAAATCTAATATATTCCGTTTAATATCTTTTCTTTAAAACAGTGTTTTTCCAAAATACTGTAATTATAATGAACCATAATTATGTGGACATGTATATTAGATAGTTTTTAGTGAAATATAAGCCCTCCAGAAAGGCAGGGAAACGCCCTGTAACTTACTTTAATACAAAACACGTTCCCTAAAACGGTGGACAGAGCTACAGACCCGTGACAGCGTTACCCAGTTTGCTGGTGGCTAAAACCAGCACTGCTTGTGCAGTTATTAAAAGGACAGGTAATGTTTGTCCCGCTGTTACACACACAGCACGCTCATTTGTTTCAATTCGTCAGTTGTCACAAGACAGTTTACCAACGTGTATTAAATAAGCTAATACTGCTTTGTGCTGTAAACTAAAGAATACGCTGAACACCTACTTACTGGCTTTTGTTGCATCAGTCTCCTACAGCTCTGCACCGCTCAGACGGCAAAAAATGCACGTGCTCTTTGCGAGTTCGTTCCCGGTTCGTAACCAGCGCGCTCTGCCATCAAGGGCGATCATTGGTTAATGGTAGTCATGTGACTGATGGAAACCACATCCTTTTA